CTATTATAAGATGTCGCTGCATGATAAAAAATAACTGGACTATTGGTCGAATATTTAAGACTTTAATTAAGTTTGCAATTTTTACGTTAGTCGCGTGACTGGTTTGACGACCCCTAAATCCGCCCCTGACATAAAATGCTTTGACCTTTGGGCTTTGGGGGAAATAAAAAATTCGAATGCCAAAGTTCGAATGCTAAGAATATTTGATTTCCCTTATGGGACCTCTTGCGAATTAGGATGTCGTTCTTTTATACCACGTTGAATATGCCTCAGATAACGAAAGATCAAAGAGTTTGGGTTTGTATTGAGTATGCAAGGATGATAATGCCGAAGAAGTAAGAAGGCGATGGCTAGGACGTTGGCTATGTGATCGTGCTCCGACTAGGGCAGCAATTAAAAGAACGTCCGACAAATTTTTGACAGAAGGCACGTGTCTCGACCTTAATAAAGGACGGAGTGGAAGAATGAGAACTGGAAGAACGATGGAAAACAGTGACTTAGTTCGACAATCTCTTGAAGAAAATGGACAACGTTCTACTAATCTACTCGAAGATGAATGGTCTTGGATTAAGCCCATGCACGTTCAAATCGTGAAAATCGACCTGAAATTTCATCCGTATGTGTTAATACGCAGACAGGAATTAAAAGAAGGCGACCCAGCACAACGGCTTGTATTTTGCAATCGATTTGTTGACACAAACCCTGGCTTTCATGATCAATTAATAGTTTCTGATGAAGCAGTTTTCAGCCTAAACTCGGAAGTAAACTCTCGCAAAGTTGTCAAATACGCAGAATACGGTAACGGTCACCCCTCGCGAACATTACGTTGAATTCGTCCAAGGTGCCGAACAAGTGATGGTGTGGGCAGGTTTAACAAGAGCTGGTGCTGTCCTTGGCCTACATTTTGTGGAATGGAATCTCGACAGCAGAGAGTATTTACGGATTATTCGCTATCATGTAATTCAGAGAGACTTTCGTGAAACCAATAACCGTCGTGTAATGTGGTGGCAGCAAGACGGTGCCCCTTGCCACATCAGCAATGCGACGATGCGATATCTTCGCAGACAGTTTCCAGGCAAGGTTATGGGAAAACGCGGCGATTGGCCCTGACCTCCTCGATCCCCAGATTTGACAATTTGCGACTTCTTTCTTTCGGGATATTTGAAGCAACAAATCTGGAACGCAGCTTAGGAATTTGGGCAGCAGCTTAGGAATTTGAGATAGCTTCGCCAGGCAGTTATCTTAGCGTGCCAAAGTTTAGATGCACAAATGATACAAAGCGCTTTTTCTGGCATAGTGAACAGAGTACGACGTTGAATAGGTGTTCAAGGACATACTTTTCCAGATGAATAAATCATCGAATGTGTAAATATTATTTACACATATACATTCGAGCGTTGTGTTGACAAGAACACCATTAAATTAAATGTTAATTTGATAGGCCGATTTAATGTAATTTTAAGCATTTTCAAAATTGTTTCTTTGAAATGAAACTGTAGTATTTCATTCAATATTGCTCAAATATCTTCAAGTCATATATCAAAATTTAAGTTAGGCCTTTCTGAATTCAGTGAAGTCTATTTTATTGAAACTCCTTGTCCAGTTTTAACGGTATAACAAATCAAACACCTATACTTTTTTTGAGACACTTGGAGATACTGAGTTTTATGAATAGATTTACTTATGTTAAAACGTCGTTCGCAATGCATATAAGTCAACAAATGCATGTAAACCGGCTGTACTCTAAAACATTTTAATTAATGAAGACTAACGCTTATTTCAGCGGAAAAATTTCAATATCTATAATATACACAAAATTTGTTGATGGGAAGTGCTTTTGGTATTTTAGCACTTGTTAATTTGTTTTTACAAAACTCACTCGCTTATTGCATTCCCTCGTTCGCTTTGTGTAAACAAATTAACGCGGGTACGAAAATACCATACGTCAGCACTTCTTGTGTGAAGAAATCTCTGTATATTCGTAAGGAAAAGAGAAATCCCAATGACATAATGTAGCACTCTCATAAACTCAAAAAGTAAATAATTATATTTACCTGCACGAAGTATAAGATTCAGATAACTTCGATCTTTTGAATATATCGTCTTCTTTGGCGGAGAAAGACTTCTTGATTCGGACGAGGTACCAAATAGGCTATCTTCCAACATCTGATCTGGCCGGGAAGCTATAGACAATCCATATCATTTGAATGGTTTATCAGTATAAAGCATTAAAACATGTAGAAATAATATTATATTGTAAATTACGAAGCGGAGGTGTAGATTGCATAGAACCAAAATCGTGGACATTTCGTGGGAAATTATATAACTTATGTTCTTGAAATAATTTATAATTTTCCAAATAATCTAATTTCCCATTTCGAATCACATGTTTTCCCATCCTTCACTACTTCCTGAACATTCAGATCCTCGGAAAACCAAGAAATGCAATCAATATTTTGCATTCTTAGTTTTCTCAAATCAGCTCAAGTCACCTAGCTATATACATTTACCTGAACGTATTCATAAACAAATATTTAAACACGCACACAAACAAACTCACCGGTATAAGTAGCTACGGCCCTGCTTATGAGACGCATATAGAAACTTAAATAGCTTATATTCGTTTTAATTTTTAATGTCATTAAATAAAACAATGAAAATAAATTATGAATAATTTATCGGTTTGTTTTGGTGGCAGTAACCATGATCGTCTATTTACCAAAGTTCCAAGTCAACATGAATGCATGCATGGGTTAACTCATAGTGTTTCCACAAAAGAACAAACAATTGTTCGCATTCCAAAACTGAAATGAAAACTATATGTTTCAAAAAGCAATTGTATAAGGTTGTTAAAAAAGCTGATTTTGGAATGATTTTTGATGGAACGGTGGAACGACTTTCAATGAATGAAAGTAGAATTTTTCTCGTATTTTTATCTATAAACTCATATTACAGTTGATTTCACGAAACATTGGCCGCGCCAGTTGCGAGGTTGGTTGGGAATTTGGGAACTATAAACACGAGATCATCAATAATTCATTTAATAATAATAATATCATAATATCTTATTCATTTAATAATAATAATATCATAATAATAATAATAATTTTATGTTTAAAATTATAATAAGTTTAATACAGTAAGTTTAGTTTTTAAAATTTCCGTCAAAATCGTTTGCAATTTGCAAACTTGCTTGCGAACTTGGTTCGGAATTTCATAACGAATTTGATGCGAAACTTCCGAATTTAATTGGCCGGTTTCCAATCAACTTGATGATCTGGTGTTTATAGTTCCCAAATTCCCAACCAACCTCGTAATTGGCGTGGCCCAAGTTTCGTGAAATCAACTGTAATTGTTATAATCTGTAAACCGTTTCCTCCTTATACCTGTTAATTCTTCCTCCAGCTCCTTCAACTTGATTAATGGAGTATCTTCTTCTACAGGAGACGCCATGCTTTGTGCGTTGTTTAAAATAGAGGCTTAAAATTCACACCAAAAGTATTTATCAATGAGCTTACCATGCAATAATATCACATTATACCATTTTTAATCTTCAAACCACAAAAAATAAACGAACGTAAATTAGATATTCAATTAAAACAGTCATATTGTTTGTCCGACATTTATTGTTATGTTAAAGAAAGTTTTGACAGGCTTTTTGAAAGAGGAATTCAATTGGTTTAGCTATAAATATAATTATGATGGTTTTTTAATCATATATAGAAGCTTGGATCGCCTATATGTTAGGTACAAAGCTTGAGGAACCATTTTTCCTTCACATATGTATATGTATAAACAATGTATAATGTATATGTTTAGTGTAGATGCATTGAAATTTCGAACGGGTGATTATATATACAATTTTAGAGATTTTCAAGATTTTCAAAAAAACAGTTTTTAAAAAAGTTTTAAAATAGTTTTAAAAGAGTTTTAAAAAGCAAAGAAAGTTTAAAAAGTTAGATTTTCAAAAAGTTAAAAAAGTTTAAAAAGTTAGGGTTAGGGTCCCAGTTAGTGTTAGGTGTCGCGAATTTATTATTATGATAAATTCAAAATGTGCCGCGAACTTATCATAATGATAAATTCCGTTTTGTTTTATGTATATATTAAGGGATCGCCGTAATTGGGGGAACTGTGGCGAACTCCATGGCACTACTCAGTGCCGTAGCCAGAACGATAATTGGGGGGGGCACATATTCATATATTCGTGTTCTGCTTTATTAATTTCTTTTGAAATCAATTGTTTTTATGGTATGTGAACACGAATATATGAATATGT